TTACTAGACTGCGAATAACACTCATGAAAATTCACACGTTTATATTTTGAAAAAAAAAACGGTGCGCGGATAAAAAACCGTTTTGCATACTAGATATTATAAATTCGACGTTTTATATATTTCTGCATGTTGCGCCCGTTTCCTCTGACGTTATTGAACATTTCATAAATGCATAGAAATTACATTGAACGTACGCTTGTTTTCACTTATCCGGATGTCAAATCAACGAGAAGATTTCAGACGATCGAATTTCCTTTCCTTTCTGGGTCCGTTCGATATTCCTTGGGCTCGAGCCAGAATTTCGTTTCAAGCCTGGAAACCGTTCCGATCCGATCGATATTACTTCTCATTGCTTAATCACGGCCAATAAATCGTTCCTAATTTGGTTTAAGCACGAGCTTGAATTATCTGTTCCTAGGCTAAAGTCCGCGGATTATCTCGTCTGGACTCCTGCGGCACGAACGACACGACGCGCGCTCTGCCGCCTGTAAATTATCATTAATTTTATCGTTTTATCTCCCCGTTCTGTCCTCCTTTCTATTTAAAGATTTAGTCGTCAAAATGACGGAGCGTATCTCGCCGCTCTTGTCTCTCGCTCTCCCTAACTTTGCAGTTCAGCCCGAGGAAGTTGGAGCCGAGTTAAAGTGGATTAAGCTTGTGTCAAGTTGCTTCTGAATTTGAAAAGTTCGCCGCGACTGATTTGTACATTTATTCGGGCGGAAGTCACCGGAGTACCGGTGGTTTATTAAACGACCGAAATTTTTCAGAATCGCTGGATAAATGAAGCCCGACACTTTTCAGTTTCTCCAGTGAACGAAATAAGCCAGGTTAGAACGTCTACAGACGACAGGGCAGATTCTAAAAATTCTTTTTTCATACGCAATTGCAGAATGTCAGGAGTCATATTACGTGAAATTTTATTTGAAATGATAAACCATTTCTACTATATAATTTAAGTAATTTTTTTAATTTTAATTAAATTTAAGTTGAAGTGCCTAAATAATTAATAAATTTAATTAATAATTTATCTTTGTCTTAGAGATAGCACAGGGAACGTTATCTCACGTTCAAATGAAATACATCACTTTTGCAAATAGCCTTTCACTTCAGTTGACTCGTTCAAATAAAATAGGTGATTTGTGAATGTACGTGCAGTGTTATATCTTTATGAACATAATTTAAAAGTACCGAATAGAAATTTGTGAGCTAGTATAATCACGAAAATAATGTTCAAACCTCTTACGAGTGCTTAGGAAAGTAAAAAATATTATATATTTTAACATATTCTATATTTGGTATTTTTCGTATATTATATTATATGGCGCAGTTCCAAATTTTCCATAAATGCAAGAAATCCACAAATCTCTTAACAACATTTGGTTTTTGAACGATAATTTTGAAACGCACTATATCCTCATATAATATTTCAACGTTGAAATTGTTTCACGAAATTCCTGCTGGAATTTAATTATCCCGCGTTTGAGTGAAAGCTTTTACTAAGTGAATCTGTATGTTGTAACTTTCTACATGCATTTTCAAATTCGTTTTAAATTTTACCAATGTAGTCGCGATAATCGGCCCATAATGGTTGATGAAATTTCGAATAGCGTCTTTATATAAAGTAAACGCAAGTAAAGTCAGTGATGAAATATTTTCACGTGAGCCACCGTGAATCGCAGAGATCATCCCGACGCACGAATTATCGATTTTCCATACTCGTGGATGAAACTGCCCTGCTAATTCGGAGAAATTGACTCGCGCGATCATAATTACACAGATAACTTCCACGAGTGCGGGATTCGATTTAAAATCGCGTGTGATTCCCCTCGTCTCGGATTTTCTAGTCAGAGAACTGCAAACTATGCAGTCAATATCCAACGACGGATCGGCGAGGAAGATCACGATAACGAAATGTAACGCGAAAATTCAACTGTTTGATTAAAAATCGCATCGGGGAAACTCCCGATTCCGGTATTGTGAAAATATTACCTCGCATTTTTCTGCTAGAAAACCGTTTTTACGCTATTTCACGCCGAAGGAATCCAACCGACGATCCCCAACTATGACAAAAATATTTTGAAACTATGCAGTTCGTTTTCATTATGCTTCGACATATCTCGAGAGAGAAATATTTTACTAATAAATAAATAACTGTTTAACCATCATCCGTCTTTTGTGTTAATTTGTGTGATTGTGTTTTGTAAAATTTCTATACCATTATCATGTGGCAGCAGGTGCAGTGGTGATTTTCACAAAATATGTTTGACACTTTTGACAGCGAAATTCGCAAATTATCTTTCTCGAAGATGCGGTATTTTTTTGAACCAGATGATCGTAATTCAATATAAATTAAATAACCGTGAAAGCGGAATCTTATGTACAATTAAGTACATAAGTGCAACAGTTTCATTTCAGTGTAATAATTTCAGAGAAACAAATCGCAACAGTTCATAGGTATTTCTCCACGCAATACCATAAAAGAAAGAAATTGCAGTTCTAATTCATTTTCGAACGAATATTTAATAATTTCAGAATCGATCGAAATTCTCGTTGACAGAAAAATTAAACAAAAGAGTGGAGCCAATATTTACAATAAATCCAAATATATTTGCAATAACTCTTCCTAGCGCAATATTAAGAGGGAAATACTTCGATAATCCATTTTCAACGAGCAACGTCCCACCGATTGTTTCCTGACAAACAAATTGAAACAGTTGTAATCTTGGGGGGAAGGGAAATAGCGGGGATCGGAACCGGTCGATGCGGGCGCACACAACAGGAAACACATTCCAAGCTCGCGTTCTCGCGTTTCGTAAATCTGGCGAGCGGCTTTGCAGCCGGACCGATCGGCCCGGCTTTGCCTCTGATCGAAACATCAGGCCGCGTTTGCGTTAGCACGCGAACGTAATAAATCCATTTGTGCCGGTATTGATTTCAGATAATGGGCAAGTGGTACGTGGTGGAGGTGCTGGAGCACAAAGTCGACCCGTCGAAGCCCACCGGCGGCGGATTGATCATCATCGATTCTTGCCCGATCGTGAACCTGAGGGGTGTCGAGAACTCGTCCAAGTTCTTCTCGTCGTTGAGGCTGTTGTGGACCGAGCACGTCGGCAATCTCGAGTACACCTTCCGGATACCGGATATCTCCAGGAAGCCGGGATTCTGGGTCTCCACTTCTTTGCAAAATGGTAACCAATCCTCCCTCCCCTAGCCGGAGGTATTACAATTTTCCAAACGAGAATGGAATTTCAATTGCCCCGTGAAATTCGCAGATTCCCCGAGCGGATGACAATTCTACCGAGAATTTATTTTTTATTTTTCTCTCTCTCTCTCTCTTTTTTTTTTGAGAGCGGAAAAAAATAATTCGAATAATCCCTTCCGTTGTTGTTTTTTTCTTTTTTTTAGGAGAAAAAAAGTTTTGGAGCTTTGATATTTTTGACTCTTTTTTCCTTTTTTTTTTTTTTT